TGCAACCTAATGGTAGGAATGAGCTGCGGGTTTGTGTTAAACACTAGTTCAACGAAAACCTATCCTGTTTGCAGTTCAGAAAACACGCCAATAAAATGTGCAGATCTGAACAGTTTGCTTGTCTGCCCAAACCTCTGGCAGATGCAGCTTTGCTTTAAATTGTAAGCAACCCAATGTGGATACCAGGTATTGTCATTGAGCAAATATGGTCATGGTCATATTTTGTTAATTAAGTCACCTAGGTTCCCTGGTGCTGTTGTTTGCATTCTACCAGAGCCAGGGTACTGCCATTTGTGACAGGAGTAGCAGTGGAGCAGTTTAGTCCTGTTATAGGGTTGTTGGTCATCTATCATCATGCCTGACTCTGGATCTACATCACTTGATGATGTGATTTTCCAAACAATGTGCACTGTCCCAGTAGATAAAGGATTTTGAAGGGAACCCCATACCATTTTTTACAAACAGAATGAAGACGGCAATAGTTTTCGTTTTCCAAATATCACTTGTGCATAAGTACATTATACTGGTGCACAACTTCACATATAGTTGTAAGGCATCTACCAAGCACATTTTAAAGAAATTGTGTATTTTAATGCTGCCTTTAAGCCAAAGTAAAAGACCCATTCACCTCTGAATAGTAATTTTTACAAAAACAGTTTGCATTGGTACATGTCCCCCATGGCAGTGCCAGGAGTATCAGAAAAAATAACAAGATTCAGTACCTATAGACTTTAATGGGGTTTGTGGTTTGAATATGGTTTGCTTGGTTCAGTGGATGTCCAGCAAACTAAACTTTGCTTGGTTATGATCATGGACTGGAGACACAGTACCTGACACTGCTAGAGATCACTGCTATGACAGCCCCTTTACAAATCATTGATTCCACATATGTGTTCCCCACAGCCTTCTTAAAAATCCATCTTCTATATCTATCTTGTTGTACATGAACAATCCCACACACCTGACTGTCTCCTTGTTCTGCTTCTCCCATCCTAAATTTGAGCTCTGCTGTAGAGGCTGATTTCTGTCTATTATATCTTCCTGGAGTAAAGCTTTAAAAAAATGTAGTTCAGCTAGGGATAAACAGCTTGAGCAATTCCTAGTAAACCTGTACTAGGTGAAAAAAGCATTAACGAAGAAAATTATTCCATAGAATGCACTCTTGCATTCAGGGGTCACATCATAACTTTAGAACTTTAGTTGAGCAGTTATCTTTTCAAAGCCCCTAGAAAAATGGAACATCTATTTGTGGGGAGATTAGGACGCACACACTATTTTGTTTTTTAAGTGACTTATTGCCAGACCCATGTATTGCCAGGTAGTGGTGGAGGAGGGGCAATCCAGCTTGCTCAAATGCCGACCCCCGTGAATTCTGGGGCTACTGCAGCACTTTAGAGGGAGAACGTAGCTCAGCTATTAATATGCTATAGCATTTATCTGTATTTTCTATGCAACCCCAGGCTAAGCTAATATTTTTTCAGCCACTACAGGTTTATCCATTTACTGCCAATCTCATTAATAACAATCAGATTATTGCTAACAAGTTGTTTAGGCACTTAGTAGCCAAGATAATATTTCCCATGCAGTCCTTAAAATGGAAAATATATAGGGATTAATTTACTAACAATAGTTCTAAAAAGGCAAAATATATAGTTGGATTCCATTACTAATGGTAATTCTAAAAAGGAAAAATATATATTGGGGGTTAAAGTACTAAGAGATAATTCTTAAAATGCAAATCATATATTGGGGTTAAATTTTAAAGGTTGTTAAAAAAATGCAAAAAAATAGTGAATTCAAATTACTAAAGCAGTAGAGGCTGTTCACCTAGCAAATTAAATGTTCAATGTTAATGAAAAGGGAAAGCTGTGTTTACTTTGAATACCCAATTATGTGCAAGAAAATAAAAACAATTCAAGATTTCTTCTAGCATATGATTGGTTATTCCAAGTGAACACAGCTTCACATAATTCACTAACATTCATTCACTAAACAGCCTCTATACCTTAGTAAATTAATTCCATTGCATTTGTAAGTTGATGCATAATGAGTGCTGACACGATTTATTATTTTATTGACAATTATTTCAACACATTTACCTCCTAGAAATCTTTGCTTTGTGTCTCCCTCCCTCAGCAGAGTGGATGCCTCTGTCTGGAGGTAAAGTATATATGTTTCTCCTTCTCCCTCTCTTTGTCCTTCTGAGAGTTCTGTTATGGAAAAAATAAAATATTGAAGAACACACATGCACACACAAAATAAAACCCTTCTATTGAACATGCTACAAATTAATTGGGTACCTAATTGTGTATTTAATTTACTACACACACAAATATTTTACAAAAAATTAAATATCACATTATATTTGTATGCAAACTGCTTTGTAATTTATTATTAACATTATATACTCATTGCAGTCCGCAGCCGCTGTGAATTTTGAAAAATGGCCAAAATACTTTGATGTCACGTTCTTGCAATATAGAAGGTATTCTACACACTGTTTATTTACAGACCTGCCCCAGAAGTCCTATTCCCTGCTTGTATCTGTGGCTCATTGTCTGCACAATTGTTGAAGCAACTCCAGCAGAGTTTAATTTTTGGTGAGATAATTTGAAAGACACCCCCATTGCTAAATGGACCAGCACTAATCAGTCACTAATAGTTGATAAAGACCCCACCTCATTTTTCAGGCAGTTGGTTACATTACAAGGTAAGGCAAACATTATTATTTTCATTATTTACAGAACAAAGAAAGGTAACAGTCAACTTTAACATTGTTTAAAGCCCTCCTTGCAAAGTATATTCCTCACCAGTAGAGGACTACTTTTCTAAACAAAACGGAAAAATCTCTAAGATTTACATTTTACCCTCCATTTACAGAGAAATGGAAAGCAAAAAAATAGAATGTAAATGACATTCCCATGGTTTAGTGGCATCACAAAATATTTTTTCTTATGGGGTGGCTACTGCATTGAGCATCTCTTATATCTCAACCTTATGTGACTTTCCAGTACTTTTTGGGCTGACACAGAAAAAAGAAAATAGTGGCACAATTAGTGCATTGAGTGAAACAGTAATCCTTTCAAAATCCCAAGGAACACACATTTATAATACTAGTATATCAGCATTTTAATTAAACAAACTTAAACCAAAACAGGTATGATTCCCATGACAGCAATAATACAAGTACTGACTACATATTTTACTACTTTAGATCTGCACTTAGTTTGTTTATACTTTGTTTTGTTTTCTTTGCTAAACCATCAAAATGAAAAAGCATGACTACTGTAAAATCTCCCTCCAGGGCATTCATTTTGCAGCAGTTAAGGTAATTGGGCTTTTACTATGTCTGTATGTGTTTATATTTGAACTATCTATGTGATCACAGTGTATATAAATCTAGTAGTATAATTAAATTATGTTATACCATATATAGCTAAACATTGGTTTGAATCAGTCTATGGACATAATACTTGTTGCATCTCTGTTATGATGTAACGCTGAAGGAAATCCTTCATAATACTCATTACATACATACAGTGAATATCATAGTTTTACATACTGTGCATCGTATATAACACAGAAACACAGTGTATGACATCTGAATCTTGTGCTGTCATTCTCTTAGCAAGTCTTTCCACCTTGTGTTCATGCCTTCCATCAAGTTGGGCAATGGTCATTGCTTACAATGAACCTGGGACGAACTATGCACATTACAGTATTTTTATATTGTGGACAATCATTACAAGCACTTTAAAAGTCATCTTTAATCTCTGTAGCTATAGGCATTGTGGAGAAATTAATCTTCAAAATATATAATAGAGGCACTGAAATCTCAGGTCATTTCACCTTTTTTTCAGTGGAAAGCAGAATCTTGGCAGCCTGTCAGCTCTGTTATGAAAATAAACCCCAGGTGGTGCAAGCTGCATTATAATGGCTGACATCTAAGTGAAGAGTCTTTGTGTTGATCTTTGAGGATACATTACTTCACAGTACAAGCAACTAGAGAAGTTAGTGGTGGCTTATTTTAAAGCTCTTTTACTACTTGTTATGAATATGTTAAATACTTTCATGTTTATCATCTAGGCATTTGCACATACACACACTCTTAGCAAAAGATATATGTTTTGTTCAGGCAGCCTGTGTTCCACACACTTTCATCACGCCACAAAGCCTAACAAATGACACATCTATTTCCTTTTGTGATTTCCTTTGCCATTTCTTCACCATGAGCCCGGTAATGGAAGAGTAATCAATATCATGCAATACGATTTAGAAAATGTTAGGCTGAACAAGGAAACAAAAAAGTGGACCTTCTGGCTAAACAGTTTGGCAGATGTGTGCAAATCAAAAGAAGGGTCTATCGGAGTTGGAAAGCCTTCTCCAGATAAACTAGCTTATATGTAGTTTACTGTGTATTTAGTCTTTTTCCTAGAGTTCCACTTTAATTAAGCAAAAAGCATAATACTGCTCTAAATAGAGTAGAGTAAACTGCTGGAAGCATAAATTGGGTTTGTTCCTGTGAATAAATGTACATGATTTCTCTTGGCTCTGTTTTATTAAATAATTAGAATATGTTTACTGTCGGCTTGCCAGTGCTTATATAACAAAGTACTAAATCAGATCATGCTGATCTTCTGAAATTCCAGTGCTGCCTATGTCTTTCTTTTAGGGGAAATGCCTTGGTATATTTTGTGTAGACCTCATTAGTCTGTCCTACCATGAAAGAAACACTGGACCACTGGATTGTGTTTGCCTACCAGGCCAGAGGTTCCCAGCCCTCCCCTGTTCCGTCAACAAATGTAAGTCACACACCGCTGGTCAGCATTTAACCAAGTATATTACCTAAAATGCATAGTCATCCCATGTTTCTGATCCTCCTTGAAAAACTAGAAAAAATGCTGAACATCATTGTGCAGTTTTTTGTTGTTGATTGTGACTGGAAATAAGAGAGGCGATTAATCCTCTTTGGTTATTGACCCCCACAGATAGCCAGAGCAACTGGGCTGATATAATTGCAGCTTTCCAAAAAAGTCCTCTCCTGGCAATACTACAGTATGAGCACTGTGGTACATTCACTAGTACACTTACGATTTGCTGCATAATATGTGTATTTTTATTAAGGTGCAGTGGGAAACACCTAAAAGCTTATTGAAGCTGCATTCACAGCTGTAGGAAATAGTGATTGTAAAATCCTTTATCATCTAACCAATAATTTTTGACAAACAAAGAACCATAAGTATCAAATGGTAAAAATGATTTGGATATTCATTCATGTAGCCACCATGTTTTATGGGTATCTTGGGGCTAAACTGTTGCTGATTTCCTGGATGAAAGTGGTGGTATTCATTAGTGAGGAGCCAGGCAATGTTCGATGTGCAGGAGGTTTGGCGAACCCATCTGGAAGTCCCATAACCCAAAACAACCCCAACTCTACTGAAGTCCATATGAGCCAAATTTTCTGCCCTTTTCAAGGTTAATTTGCAAGCTATTGCTAAAACAAATTGTATGCTTAGCTAAGCACTTCCATGGGTGGCATGCACCAATGAAAAAACAAAAACAAAAGTGGGAGTAGATTATTTTCATCTGAAAACACACAAATCCCTGAAATAACAAGCTTTGGCGATGCCAACTTTTTTTTTTAGCACCTAGACAAAAACGAGCCGTTAAAATGACATTAAAGTCACATCCCCCTCCCATGCTGCTTTAAGGACTTACCTTAAAGTGACATTAAACCCTCAGATTTTTTAACATAAAACAATACTGTAATGTGTGCCTTACTGTAATCCATGGTTGTTTTCCTTCTCTTTGCTGCTCTTCCTTTTAAATCTGTATCTGTTCTCATGCGGGGCAGAACGTCTGTTTTGCAGCAGACTGCCTTGTCTCTGAAATGGATAGATGGTGTCTGTGTGTACGTTTGCAACCTGAGCCAGCACTACAGGAAGAGGCACTCAGCTGCAAAGGGAAGTTCTCCCCAAGCATGAGAAGACATGAGGATTTAAAAGGAAGAGCAGCAAAGAGAAGTGAAACTACTATGGATTACAGTAAGGCACACATTACAGTATTGTTTTATGTTAAAAAATCTGAGGATTTAATGTCACTTTAAGTGATGCCTCTTGATCCGATCATCTTCTTCTTTCCAGTAGTTTTCAGCTGTCCCTCCAGCACTGCTGCTGGTCTCGTATCCAGCGCAGACTCCTCGTCTCCCATAGTGTCTGTCCAACTTCCACACTCACGGATGCATGCATTCACCTCTACTGTGTCTCTCCTCTTCTCCCCGCTGATGATCTGCACTGCACATGCACCCAAATTCATCCTCTGGCCCCTTGAGAAGCTGGATTTTACAGGCGGGAGCGAGCAGTGGAGACAAAGGGAAGTTTTTACCTATTTGGTAACTTTTTTATTTCTTAAAATGTTTTGCATATCTCTACTGCTTGCTAGCAGTAGATATATGTAAAAAAATGACTTTAATTCTACTTTATCCCTTGCAGTGCAGGGGTAGCCCCACTGCATGGGTTAATACAATTTTTTCTGGGAGTTCTCATTTAAAGTTTAACTCCATGCAGCTATTAAAATGAAATAAACAAATCAGTCATGTATTCTGTGTATAAAAATGTGTGTGTGTGTATGTATGTGTGTATGTATGTATGTATATTACAAAATGCTTATTCTCTAATATATATATATATAATGTATAAATGTAACTAGAGAATGAGCCTTTTGTAATTTCTTTGTACTTTGTTGGAAGAGGCAGCAATAGGAATCGATTAGGTGTGATGCATTAACATGTCCATAACAAGGAGCCTGATATCTATAGAGCGCTGACCTCATTATTCTTAGCTGTGTCTTCACTGTCCATTCACAGACTGATACCAAGAAGGTAACCTAGCTCTGTTGAATAACTGCAGGAAAAATTCCAGTCAACGTCCTTGGTCTGCTACTTGCCAGGACTATTTCAACCTCAGGACAGGGTGAACAGGGTCCAAAATGTTTGTCATGTAGAACAGCTCCTATGTACAATATGTACCTCAACTATGCATATAGCTGTTTGCCTGGAGTAAATTCACAAATTTGAATACAAACTATACACTACATTGAATAAAGGCACAATATTTCAGTACCTATTCAGACTATGTTTGTGTGTTAGTGTGTGCTAAGCCAGCCACTTAATTTTTAATGTTATGGCAACACACATCAGCACATTAAAATG